AGGGGAGGGGAGTTTGCAGGAGACAATTTGTTCATTTAATTAGTGTGAAGATTTGTTCGTGATTCTCAGAGACTCCTTGCCAAGAATTTTCTTGTACAGCCTTGCATTTGGAAGATATTGGCCTGGCAGCTCTCCAAGCCTGATAAGGGCTCTGGTTGTAAATTCTTCCTTGAAAGACTGTTTGCCGGGACTTTGCTGGATGTGAATGAGATGAATTCACATTAGCTTTATAAAAAGGGGGTTTTGTCGAGAGAAAGAGTCTGCTTCATGATTTTGTGAAGCCTAGGTCAGAACACTCTCTGTGTTTCTCTTTTCCAGGTCGTGGTCGCCCTCCTACAGAACCGTTGCCTGATGGATGGATCATGACATTCCACAACTCGGGCATCCCAGTGTACCTACACAGAGAGTCTCGTGTGGTCACCTGGTCCAGACCTTATTTCTTGGGAACAGGAAGCATCCGAGTATGTCTTTTGGGTTTCATTCTTTTAGAAACATGAATAGGCGTTAGGCATTCTGCAATCGTTAGAAGTATGGCTGACCATCACTGGTTTTTATTCTGTAAAATTCGATTTCATCTTATTTAAAACATGAGATGCTACAGGTATTCTTCGACTTATAACCGTTCGTTTATCCCAAAGGTGTTTTTCTCAAGAGGCAACTGGACCTTTCTCGTTTATTCTTTGAAGATGTTTCGCCTCTCATCCAAAAAGCTTCTTCAGCTCAGGCTGGATGGTGAGGAATGGAAGGATTTATACTCCTTGCAGGCAGTTGGTCATTTGCACACTTTTTGAAAATTGTTGAGACCCTTGGGGGCCCTTGAAAAAGCACCTTTGGGACAACCATGATCTGGATGACTGAGAATCTCCATAGAAATCATTCATTTAATGACTGCAAAGTTACAATAGCTCTGAAAAACGTGATTAATAAATCATTCCTTAAACTTCAATAAGAGAAGCTGGATTCACTTAACAACCTTCTGATTCACTTAACAACTGCCTGCCTTCTTAACTATGGAAATTCAGGTCTCATTTGTGGTCATAAGTCGGTGACTATCTGCATGTTGGTGAGCCAAACTAATTATGAAACTGTCAGCATCAATCAGAATAATATGAAAAAAGAAAATTGCCTTCCTGCCCTTTGACAAAAAGATCTATTTTGAATTATTGTTACATTCCAAAATAAAAATTGCTTTATAGGTTACTTAACTCTAAAAGCTTGACTCGTTAGTAAATTAGAGGATCAATATTTTCTTATTGATCATCTTTCCTTAAGCATAATGCATAACTGATTTATAGGGTTCTCTTCCGCAACAGGGAGCGAGGGCCTCTAGCTGAAATAAAGCCAAAGAGCATAGAATGCTGTTTAGTTTTTGGATAAGTTTTGCTATTCTAGCCGCCTTGGAGGCATCTGGCGGCAGTGAAATGTGAGATCTTAAAGCAGATGGAAATACATTCCTCTCCAATTCTTTTACGGGGGAAACATTTATAGAGAAAAGTTGGGTACTTATGAGCACCCTATGTACAAAGGTAATATATAGTGAATGGCTTTGATTTTAAAAATTAGTGAAAATACATTGGAGCAATTAGGAACACTTTGCGTTTTGGTACTTCCAAGGTGCACTTTTTAAATTCATTTTAAAAATTACTAAAAATACATTGGAGCCATCAGGACCACTTTACACTTTGATACTTCCAAGGTGCATTTTTTAAATTCATTGCTTCTCACAAGATTTTTCTTCTGATACTACAGAAAATACGTAACTTAAAAGGGTGTAAGTTGCTAGAGAGCCAGGTGATTTTCTAACCAAGGTATAAAAACACTCTTAGAAAGCACATTGCATTTGACTTCCCAGTTGTGTCTTGTTTTGTATAACAACGACGATTCTCAGAGGTCTGATGTTTTGCTGGTAAAGACTAGGGCACTCTATATGAGGGAAGTTACATGTTTGTTTTATAGCCCTGCTCTCACCTTTGAACTTGCAAACTGTGTTGCAGAAACATGACCCTCCTCTGAGTAGCATTCCTTGTTTGCATTACAAAAAAATGAGAGAAAACGAGGAAAGGGAACAAAGCAATGACATCACCCCAAACGGGGAAGTTTCACCCGTAAAGCTGATGGACAAATCCCTTGAACTGGATTGTCAAACAGAGGAGCCGGACTCTACTGCAGCCGATTCCGGAACGTTGGATGAGAAAGATCCATCTGGGGGAGATGCAGCCCAAGGAGCTTTGGGACAAGTGAAGGCCAAAGTTGAAGTGTGTAAAGATGAATCAGTAGGTGAGGACCTGCCATTTACCGTTTTCAGGTGGGCCACATCCTGCCGACCAAGTTAGGCATCAGTGTTTCTCCTTCAGTCATCCAGAGATCCCCTTGCTGTTGCTTGTGTACATTAAGTGTCGCATTAATGTACTGTATTTTTCGGAGCATAAGACACTCCGAAGTATAAGACGCACCTAGCTTTTGGGGAGGAAAACAAGGGGGAAAAAATCTGCCTCTTCCTCCCAGCAATTTACCTCCTTGCAGCAAACAGCAAACAGTACAGAAGATGTACACCGTTTGTGGTGTTACATTTCAGGCTATACTTGTACAGATGCTGTTAAAATAGATGTGGCTTTCTGGAAGTATATGTTATTCTCTGCTATTTAAAAGAAGATACAATAGCACCGGGCCTCTTCAGATCAAGCATTTATTTTAAAAAGCTGCTTCATTTTGTTAAGTTGTCTAGAACAATCATAAAGCAGTCTTTAAGAAATAAGTCTAATAATTTGAACATTCTATAGACATTTATAGTTATTGACTTACCTCCTTGCAGCAAACAGCTTGTTTCAATTTAGCCTGATTAGAAATGAGGGGGGAGGGGGGAATCCGCCTCTGCCTTCCAATAATTTGCCTCCTTGCAGCAAACAGCCCATTTCAATTTCAGTTTCAGCCTCCCGATGATCAGCTGTTTCAGGCTATAGGGATTGCCATAGCTTATTACTACCTCCACAAGCCCCATTTTCCCATTTGCTGCAAGGAGGTAAATTGCTGGGAGGCAGAGGCCAAAGGGTAGGGATTGGTGGGTGGGCGGGGCTGCATTCGGTGTAGAAGACGCACCCAAATTTTCACCCTCTTTTGGGGGGGTAAGTGCGCCTTATACTCCAAAAAATATGGTACATTATAAGTAGGACAAGAAGCAATGGATGGAAGCTGTCAGAGTGTACACAGCGTGGCTACTATTTTGAGACAATCCAGGAGCAAAATACAGAACAGATTTGTCTTTCAAACAGTGGTTTATATACAAGACTTATATATACATATATACACATGTTAGGCAAATACCAGGCAATCAATCAGTCTTCAACTCTACACAGGGAACCACAATGCAGATAGATCACAAAGAGAGAAATACAAGAGGAGAGAGAGAGCTGCCCTCACATGGCTTCCCTTATATATACAGCTTCTTAAAATTGCAATAACTCTGCTGACTCATGTCATCATCTCGGTTTATAGCCTTACAGCAGCTGGTCAGCTATTAAATCGTCAGAAGCATATCAAAGATAGCTCCAACTTAGAAGTAGGGAGAGATTTTTGGACAGTGAGAACAATTAATCAGTGGAACGACTTGCCTCCAGAAATTGTGAATGTTCCATTAGGAGACCAGACAGCCACTTGTCCAGAATGGTATAGGATCTGCTTAAACAAGGGGTTGGACTAGATCAGGGGTGTCAAACTCGATTTCACTGAGTGCTGCATTGGGGTTGTTTTGACCTTAGGGGGCTGTGGTGAGTGTGGCAAGGATGGGCTTGGTCACATCAACGTCACTTGTATCGGGGCACTTGTGGTGGCCTGAGCACTCGGGCGAGCGAAAATGGGTTCCCGAGCTTCGTTTTCGGCTGTGATGGCCTCCTGCAATCCTCTGCCCATGAAAGCAGAGCTTGGGACGGCTGTCTGCAGCTCTTGCAAGCTCCATTTTTGCTGGCAGAAGCACCGCAGACAGATCCTTCGCTGTTTCCAGAGCGGCGTGGGGGGCTAGATCGAAGCACCCCGTGGGCTGGATCCAACCCTGGGCTTTGAGTTTGATACCCCTCTCCTAGAAGACCTCCAAGGTCCCTTCCAACTCAATTACCCTATTTTCTTTTTTGTTTAAATGCTTGTTTGCAGCTATGATGCCAAAGGACATAAGCACAAATCTTTCTGAGATATTTCTATCTACAGTAGTCCTTGACTTAACAACCACATTACGATCATAGGACCTGATGTCCATAAATCAGATCACTCCCATGATCGACCCAGTTGCTCTCTCCGTTAGAAGGAGCACAGCGGGGTGACAGTTGCTTTGTTTCCTTAGATATTGAGGATTTCCGACACTACCTGGAGAAATGCTTCGATTTTGAGCAAGTCACGGTGAAGAAGTTCCGAACGTGGGCGGAGAGGCGGCAGTTCAACCGGGAGATGAAGAGGAAGCAAGCGGAGTCAGAGAGGCCCATTTTGCCAGCCAATCAGAAACTCATTACATTGTCTGTCCAAGATGCGCCCACAAAGAAAGGTAAGCTGGTTGTAAGAATTGTGAATTAATTTAAAGCCCTGAGAATTAGCCAAAGTTCTGTATGGAACTGATTTTATTTGTTTGTCCTTCCCATTCAGAGCTTTATCTTCCATTCAAAGTTATCTCCCCAGGTATACTTAGAACCCAGGTGCACTGGTCATTTTCAGCTATTTCAAGTATCCCAAAGTCATAGGCTTCCCCAGCAGCATAAAGCTGAGTCCTCATCCCGATAAACCCCTTTTACTTAATTTACAGTGAATTCCTCTCCAGCAAAGTCCGGGTCCACATTCTTTCAAGATAGTTCACAATTACGGACCTTATCAGGCTTGGAGAGTGGCCAGGCTGATATCTTTTAGACACCACAATACTTGGCAAGAATGCAGGAATGAACTAATTGTCTTCTGCAAAGTCCACTCCCCTGTTCGCTCCTCTTTTATTTCCTCGAGGGAGGGGCCATTCATCGTCCACCTGTGGCCTTACTCACAAGTTGACCCCTGTTCTTTAGCTGTCCCCTTCTCCTGGCAACTCTGCACATGCTCACACTGGGGGACATTGGGGTCATCAACAGAGGACTACCTACACTGAGTGTTGGTAATCTTGGAAAATGCTAATTTTATTTTCGACTCATCGTTAGGCTAGTAACACTACACCTAGTGCGATTGGTATCAAGGAGTTGTATTTATCCTGTGGGATTTCTTAATGAAAGCCGTTCTCATCCTCCAGCTGTTACTAGTGAACATTTCAGAGATTCAAAGCCGCATCTGTGTGATATCTTTATTTTCCAGAGTTTGTTATTAATCCCAATGGGAAGTCTGAAGTTTGTATCCTTCATGAATATATGCAACGAGTGCTGAAAGTACGGCCTGTTTACAATTTCTTTGAATGTGGTAAGTATTCTAATATTTATCTAAGGAACGATTCATTCATCTTAGTGATGATTTACCTAAGAGCTGCCATAAATCTAAAGAACTAAGCTTCAGCTATGTTTCAGGATCCAATCTGGATCAGTCACCGGAACCAGAGGTTTAGTCTTCCGAGCTTTCAGACTTGTGCTAAAGCTCATCCTCAGGAAACTTTACAGCAATGGAGAGAAATAAGCAGTGGGGTACCACAAGGTTCCGTTTTAAGTCCAGTACTCTTCAATATCTTCATAAATGACTTAGATGAGGGAATAGAAGGGAACTTACCAAATTTGCAGATGATACTAAACTAGCAGGAATAACTAACACTCTAGAAGATAGGCTCAAGATCCAGAAGGATTTTGACACTTGAACACTGGGCCCTATCTAACAAAATTAAATTCAATGTAGAGAAAAGTAAAATTCTACACTTAGGTAAGAGAAACCAAAAGGACACATATAATCTGGGTGAAACCAGGCTTAATAGCATTAACTGTGAGAGGGATCTTGGAGTCTTAATGGACAACCAGCTAAATATGAGCCCGTTGTGTGCAATGGCAGCCAAAAAAGCCAATGCAGTCCTAAATTACATTAACAGAGGGATACAATCAAGATCAGGTGAGGTCCTAATACCATTCTATAAAGCCCTAGTAAGACCACACCTAGAGTACTGCATCTAGTTTTGGTCACCACACTATAAAAAAGATTTTTGAGACTAGAAAAAGTGCAGAGAAGAGCAGCCAGGATGATTAGGGAACTGGAGATTGTTGACATAGCAATAGCCGTTAGACTTATATACCGCTTCATAGGGCTTTCAGCCCTCTCTAAGCAGTTTACAGAGTCAGCATATTGCCCCCACAGTCTGGG